CTACTATTTAAGAGAAAAAAACCAACTGAGAAGGAAATAAAGAAAAATCGCCGCAGGCGGTTAGGACACACAATGAGGAAAGCATCCAACTGCGTCACAAGGTAGGTTAGAACATGGAATTCTCACGGTGGAAGGAAAATAAGAAGACTAAAAAAACACATTGTGTTGAAACTCGGAAGCAGACATGAAAGGAATAGACGAGAATTGGATAGAACTGGAAAAAAAGGCCGAGGACAAAGTAGGTTAGATAATGCTGGTCGGTGCCCTATTCCCTATTAAGGGGCAACAGACGTAAGTAAGTAAGTAAGTAAGTAAGTAAGTAAGTAAGTAAACTTTCCCGCTACTACTGTCGAGAACTGAAATTAGTCAGTCTGTATAAGCATGTATGCATCTTGAGCGGATTGTTTCATTATTGCCATTTAGTTATAATGTATAGACTTGAACATTGAAAAACATAACATAATATCAGCCGAAGTAGTTTGACCATGTTTTTCTATGCGCATGCATATTCACATAACACTCACCTTACATTGAAGTGGTAGGGAAGAAACATGAGTAAGTAATTCAACTAACCTAAGTTCACATATAAAAATGCTTGAAATAATTTTGTAAGAAATTAACAAAAGTTGTTATTATTATTATTATTATTATTATTATTATTAGTGTTGAGAAATACAGAGATGTAAATTACTTTTTTTTGTTAGAAAAAAAAATTAATTGAAAACTACTGAACGGTTTGTTTCTTCTCTCCCGAATGAAATAATGGCTTAACATAATAATTATAACAAATATGATTAATTTGTTACTTTCAATATAACTAGATTCAAGAAAATCCACATGAATTACTTGAGAGTAAGAATAATAATAATAATGAATTACTAACACTATTTCCATACAAATAGTTATTCTAAGTGGATGCAATTTATTTTTAGAACTTACAAAGATTGTTTTTTTTTTAAATAGGATATTCTTAAAAGTTCCGCTACTTGTTGAATTAGTCCTTCAGTGAAACAATCAAAATGACAATTACAGGATTATTTGTAAAAGTTAACTAAGTCAATAAAACTATTATGGTATACTGATAAATCAATCAGGTTTTTTTTAAAAGAAAGTGTTTGAATTTTTGTATGACATTCAAACGAAAACAATATTGACTGTTTACTGATGAATGAGGTTGTTTTAAAGATTTCATTATCAATAGAAGAGTGTGTCTGGTGTGATATCGTCGAATACAGTAAAACGTTGATTGAATTTAACGATACATACAAATGTTTATTTGTCCTGGTTGCGTTTTTCATTAATAGCCAAATTAATAAGAATTGATTTATTCCATTTTTACTCATATTTTGTAGTTCAACTCTTAGATAAATCATCCAATTAGTAATTTATTATTAGGTAATAGATATTTATTTTGTATATGTTTTTATTGAGCTAGGCTTGAATGTGATTCACCAAATCATTGTCTATTAATTTCACTTCGTTGACTTGTTGAAAACTGTGCACAAAAATATTCTGAGATAACATTAGTTGATTTATTGAAACTATTTATGATCTGATAATGAATTCGATCAATAATCGATCTGTTGTTTCATTGAAGTAAACGCTTCCATGACCCCCGCATGCAGGACTCGAACTCAGGACCTTTAGCTTCGCTCGACAACTCTGGACCATTGAGCGGATATCCAGCCTTGCTATTGTCTAACTTCAACCAGTCCACGATATTGCACGACCTCATCCACTGCCTTTGGTGGATAACGGCCTCACAACCGACATGGCTGGAATTCACTGGTCGCGACTTCTCACTAGCACTCTGAAACTCTCCCCACGATTTAGTCACTAGTGAGAACATGTTATGATGTTTCATTATAGAGTTATGGAGATTGTCGCGTTTCATTGAAATCATGAATCGATCATTGTTAGACCACCATTAGAAACCTCTGCTTAAACATGTTACAAATAGTGATCAATTAATTTTGTATGAATACTTTTAATGTAAAAGAAAAGATCATCAGTCCCTATTTTACTGATAAATTTTATCAGGTATACATGACTAACTAAATAGATTTATTAAAAAAACATCGTAATAATGAATGCGTTAATCCATAACTTCAAATGAATAAGCTTAATATTCACAGTACAAGTTTGACAAACACTGAAAAAGAATCAACCGAACAATGACATTTAATACATTTAAAAATATTTTACTTAGGTGAAAATGTGATTCGTCAACATTTTCTAACATTTTGAAGCTGTTTTTCTATAGTGATCAGTTAATATTTACAAACTATTTAAGATGTTGTATTGTAAAATGTCATCATCTTTCAAAAGAAGTTCTTATCTGTATTGAAAATATAACAATATCTTTCCAATATCATTTCATTTTATTTTTTAAAATTTTGTTTTATTCTACACGAGTTAATAACATGAAGAATCGATCAAAATTGTTGTTATAGTCGAATAAACACTGAAAAAAACTTTACTAATTTACAGAACTAATTTACTAAAGTGAACTGTAATTACACAAATTGTAGATTATAGAATACTCAGTCAGTCAGTCAGTCAGATGCAACGTAGAACTTCGTACGTAAGTACATCAGTTCATGTTGCCATAGCTCATTAGCACAGAGATGTAATTGTCAATTCAAATCCAATAGTAGTACAGGTAGTTAAGGTATTAGAAGTAATCGGAGAGGTTAGGATTAGAAGATATTATTCAAGAAGTATGATTCAGTGAGAAATGTTTAGAAAGTCAGAACTAGAGGTGTTGAAGAATTCAGAAGATTAGGATTTGAGAGAACACAGAGAATAAATGAATGAGCCATATCATTCAGGGTCTCTAACCATCGATTATTATCATCTCGCGGGCCCAACCAGGTAGTCGACAACTATCGACATGACTAAGTTCACTTGTCAGTGACTTCATCGATTTCTACAATGTTTTGGTTTGGCCACCCCTAGCTTTCTTCCAAACTACTCCTACACTACAAAACAAAGCCCGTCAAGGCCGTCGCTGGTTAGGCATACGCAGCACATGTCCCAACCACCTGAACTGATGAAGTTTCAATACTTCATCTATTGATCTGCCATCCTTACGTAGCACCCGTTTCCTAATAACAGCGTTGCTCACTCGGGTGTCCCAGGATATACTAGCGATGCTTCGAAGACACCTACGCGATGAAACTCAATATTAACAAGTTTATATCATAAATTAAAGTTTACGATTTAATTTATGTAGTCAGTGCTACACTATCATAAAACTATGCACCCAGAAATAGCTTAATGCTTACACTTTCATTTTAATAAAGTCATAAGTTGTTAAAATATTATCGAATAGGAGTTTAGCGAATTTCCCAGCCGAAATAGTCATTGACTGATGTGATAGAAATTATATATATATTAGTTTTGTGAACTACGAAAGCCATCATCCAGAAGATACAAGTGTTTATTAATAGTTGTCTGCGCGAAATACTTCGGACTCGTTGGCCAGACACGATCAGAACAAACCAGATTCCAGTGGAGGAGGAAATCAGGAAGGAGCGGTGGAGGTGGATAGGACACACACTACAAAAAGCACCTAACTGCGCCACAAGACAAGCCCTCACTTGGAACCCTCAAGGCAAAAGGAAAAGAAGAAGGCCAAGGAACACCATACGCCGAGAAATAGAGAAACATATGAGAGGAATGAACAAACATTGGACAGAATTGGAAAGGGAAGTCCAGGACAGAGTTGGTTGGAGAAAACTGGTCGGCGGCCTATGCTCCACTGGGAGTAACAGGCGTAAGGAAGTAAGTAAGTAATTACTAGTAGTTAAAAAGAGAACTCATTTTCAATTCTATTAAATTACACTTAATGTTCAGGCAAAAAAAAACATGACCACTTTGAATGATCTAATGAGACGATGAAGTTTATCAGAACTGCGTAATATTAATATAATATAACAATAATAATAATAATCTGATTATACGCACTTTTATTGAGAAGTTGAAATATGAACAATAAAAGATCAATGAAACAAATCGAAAGTTACCAATCAAATAAAGAATATCAAGAGAACATTGTCAATAATACCATGATATTTTTTTACACTGTCTTTGTTTCAGATCAGTTTTATCTGCTCTTAGCTTCCAGTTTATCTAGTTGACTTTTTATTTTTTTGTAACATACATTCTATAAACCTTGTCTTCTCATTGTATCATCCATGTTTTAAAAGATGACATCTCTGTTGGTCTGGGATCTATGGGTGGATTAGGAGAGGAAGGCAAAATCACAGTTTAGACACCAGCAAATATCTATGATATTATAAGTTCAAAAGCGAAATGGAATGTGTCATATTAACGCTGCTACAACGAATAATACTATAATATACGTAGAAAAATCACCTGACTCGTTTTTTTTTCATGTTTGAAAACGCTTTACACTTCCAAGTGAACAGTAATAATTGTTGATCGAGAAGCTTTTGAATGTAATGTGGTTTTCATCAAACAGCTAGATCAACCCAAATACTACCTAAAAATAGGACGGAGATCAACAGGTACTTCATTCTGGTATGGCACTTCTGAAACAATGCGTACTCATGACTAGGTCTAATCAAGTACTTACAGTTAACGAAGACTGTCTACAAACGTAAATATTACATGATGTGAATATAAATTATAGAAATTTATTATTAATAAAAATAAAAGTTTTCTTAAGAAAATTCAAAATGAACATTGAGTAATCAGAATTATATTTAATGTTTATATAATTTAAAATGTTAGTTTTCCCTTTTTTTCTATTTACATGCCCATTTCATTTGTCTAATTTACTTCTCCATTCTTTCATTATTCATTATGACTAGTTTGTCCATGAAGAAAGAGCCAATCATTTAGCCAGAAATTATTTCACCATTTAGTAGTATTCAATCAAATTGAATATCGAAAAGATAAAATTGTTTATTGATCATTGAAATGATTATAAAAGTAAGACGATTTGTAAAATGAGATAATATTTTATTGTGGGGAAAAAAAAGAAAAGCTTAATTGGATTAGTTTTGATAAAGAAAAGAGGAAATTCTCGAATTCCCTTCGACTAGTTGTTGCTTGAGTATAATATTAAAATAATAGATTAATTGTTGTATTATTAGTAAGAAGAAAACGGAAAGGATAAACAAGAATGAATATAACATTTGGCAATTTACTGCTTATTGATTACTCTTGTAAGTTAAGTATATTTATTTATTTACTATTTACTGTTTTTACTTATGAAATCAGTGGATACAATACGACTTTAATGTGTTTGTTTTTCTCTCTCTAAAAGTACTTCACCACCTCTTTATTAATGTATGTTTTAAATTGTGCTTGGTTATTCTTGTAATGCTGCTTTCAACTAAAATGAAACAATCAGTTAACTGTTCTTGATTTTTACTAGTGTTCTCTGTTGAATATTTTCAAGTGAAAATTATTAATCGATTAATTACTAAGGGAATTTCTTTCAATGATTTCTGACTTTGTTTTCACTGTAAATTATATTATCTGGGCTAAATTAAAATGTAATGATTATTATTTTAGTTAAAGAATTTTATTCCAACGTATGCCATATATGTACTCCCGATACGAGAGTCATGAATGAACACACTATTGAACAGTTCCATACTGGATGGAACAGAACTATCATCCATTGTTTCTAGATTTTCTATGTTAATCTAAATAAAACCATTTTATTATCATTATTATTTAAACTATAAGAATTCTACAATCTCTACAATAAATTATTCCGTTTTATTTATGACATGAATAACAATTACACAATAAATAATGAAATATTGATCGAATAGAACATTAAATCATTCTTAATGAATAAACTAGACTGATGTGTAGTTTCAAAATAATATTTTTTTATTATAAATTAACATTAGAAGCTTTTATTGAAAATGTGAACATAAGAAAGTATCATTTATTAAGATGATAAACTTATACTGTTTGTTTTAATGAATGAATAAAAAGTTTAAAAGAAAATACTTTAACTTGTAATATTTATTAATAATTTTCAAATAAAATTTCGATGCATTTTTCATCAACGTTTGAATGAATATTTACCACTGAAATTCATTTGAATTAAAATGCCATAGTTCAGTTATTTTCATTAAATATTAACTAGCGAAATAATATGAGTCAATTTGAACTTTTAAATATGGTAACATTATTGATTTTTTATCTGTTCATTTATACAGTTTTGTGAAATGACACTGCTTATGAGTCCCATACCAGGACGAAACGGTCGTCCAGTGCTTCCAGGTTTCTAATAGTGGTCAAACATTGGTCGAGTCATTGCTACAAATAAAAATATAATAAAATAAAATATACCTTAAATAGAATTACAGATTCTCTGGAGGAACTTACTCGCTAAATTTGATACTCTTTCAAATCTGTTAATGAATATTTGAGAATATAAAAATTAATTGCACTTTTACATCAATGAGTATTTATTAAACTTAAACTATGAAATATCATTGCAATGATAACATTACTGAATCAATGTATTTATTACTGTCAACTGGAATAACAAATGTCATGGTATTGCAATTAAATATTCTTTTTTGAACATGATAACTCTGAATGTTCATAATCAGTCATGTTAATTAACGAATTTGAAGTTGAGAATAGTTGTTTCATTGTATTGAAAATGAGTTATTATGAATGAGTACTTTTGTCACTCAATTGAATTTAAACTAGTAAGATGATCGCATTGAATTTCATAACATGAATTGTGCAGATCTGAGTAAGCAATTCAATGGGATCTTGAATGTTCCATTGACCTACTAATAAACATACGGTTACAGATGTTCGGTTGTAGAAAGAAATTAATTCGTTTTATCTGGTCTATTAACATATGAAATGATATTCTCTCCTCTGTCAGTAAATTTTCAATTTATTACATTATTGTGTCTAAATGTACTACGCATTCAAAAAAACAAAACCATTCACAATATTAAAAAAATATCAGTAATTCTCTCTTTTTAGTATGATTTTGAATTAATTTCTCCGTTTAAAACAATTAGTCTCTGTTTGTAAAATTCTGATAGTAAAATGAGGAAAATTAGAGTTAATTTAAAAGATTGTAATACACTGTTTGAATTAAACATGTCGACTAATCTAGTCACATATGTATTCGTATTACACCACTATAGCTTCTTGATCACTGCATAGCTATGAGTTTTGATAGTTGGAAATAATTAACAATAAACTTTGAATATATATGTTTTATTCTTTGGGAAATAGATAGAGATACTAGTTAAAAGATTCAAATTTATCTTATCTAAAATTACCAACAAGAAGTAATGATTCACGTCTAAACTAAAGGGAATTGGATGCTGGGATATTCTCAACAGAAGTCAGTTCACTTTATTTTTTAATAGTACTAAATATATATTTTTAAACAAAATACTAATATTTGAGAAGTGATTGAAAACTAGTAATGAAAATATGTACTACATTTTACTGTATGAAATAAGACGTTCAGAGAATTTTTGGGCAGAGTTTTGGAGGTTTGTGTTTTTACGCATTTGAAATCATCGATCAATCATTGTTAGACAACCATTAGAAACCTGAAAGCACTGTACGGCCGTTTCGTCCTGGTATGGGACTCATCAGTAGCAGTGCGGATCCACGACTCCTGCACCTCGAAGGATTCGAACCCGAGACCTCCGGTATTGTGCGCGAACGCCTAACCATTGGACCACAGGACCGGTATCCAACGGTGTTAATGTCTAACTCTGATTGATCTCAACTGTTTCTGAATTTCAATACATATGACGAGTAATTTTTTGTTTTATCTCTTGGAAACTTATATTGATGAATAAAAAATTAACTTCTTTAGTGGATTCGACTCAGTCACATCCGTTAATATGAGAATTTCAATTATCATAAAACAAATAGTTTCTTTATTTAAAACAAAACGTATCAACTAAGAAATCTGTTCAACAAGTTCATCAATTATTAAACAGATAATTAATAATACTTTGCGTTACGGGGTTGTGAAGATTGTTAAGTTACACATTTTTGCTGAGGAGTCCCATACCAGGACGAAATGGCCGTCCAGTGCTTCCAGGTTTCTAATGGTGGTCTAACATTGATCGATTCATGGTTTCAAAAATGTGTAATAATACTTTGTAACACACATAATAGAAAATCAATCCAAAACATTTAGATATTTTAAGTCAAAGTTTACTTTATTAAAGTTGTATTCAAAAAGAATAAACGTTAGGAAGAGAGTGTGAAAAAGAGTTCACATCCATCAAAGTGAACACTAATGTGACAAATAACTGAGTAAATATAATAAGTTTTATAACACGGTTTTATAAGTTTAAAAATGCAAGTTGAGATTGTGTATTATTCATTCATTGTCAATAGTAGAATAGATCTATTTCCATAATCTATAACTAACTAGTTTAATATGTGCTACTGTCTTCTTGTATTTCATTTTTCCATGCTGTTGATTAATCTATGCAATGAAATATTCAATTTTCATTGTGTTTTTTTTAATACCGTTCTCTTTATAATACTGTAGTATTAAATTTTTATACGTTCACATATGCAGTAACACCAATCTGTCTAAAGCTTCCATGCCATACCTTTGGCGCTTTATTCTTTTGAGGAAAATTTTTCAAATAAGAACAGTTAACATTCTACCGTACAATTTGGAAAATTGAATCGTTGTTACTTTTAAGTTTTTTTTTTACAGTTCTCATTCTAATTGTCTTCAAAATAATACACGAATACTTTCAATTCCTTTTCATCCTTTGAGTAGGATGGTAACCCTATAAGACTATTAAATACAGCAATCACATCTATAACCAGTACAAAAGCTAATACTATCGACTGACAAATTTGTAAATGAAGATTTTTATCCATTGTTGAATGTTTGTTGATTACTTTAGCCTACTATATATATATATATATATATATATATATATATATATATATTTGGTCAACTGGAATAACAAACGTCACTGTATTGCAATTAAATATTCTTTTTTGAACAATGATAACTCTGAATGTTCGTAATCAATCATGTTAGTTCATGAATTTGAAGTCGAGAATAGTTGTTTCATTGTATTGGAAATCAGCTGTTATGAATGAGTACTTTTGTCACTCAATTGAATTTAAACTAGGAGAATAATCGCATTGAATTTCATAACATGAATTGTGCAGATCCAATTAAAAAATTCAGTGGGATCCTGAATGTTCCATTGACCTACCAGTAAGCATAATTACATAGATTCTGAGTTGTAGAAAAAAATTAATTCGTTTTATCTGGTCTATTAACATATGGAATGATATTCTCTTCTCTGTCAATCACTTTTTTATTCACTTAGTAGAGTTAATCCATCCAGCCGAATTGGATTTAGTAAGTTCATTTGATAACCATGTTGTGCATACCAAATTATCTGCTTTAGCCGAAGAACACTAATGAAGGTTGAGCCAATATTGCATATGATAAACCTTCATGCATCTTAGCTGCAACTTGATACCACGATTATTGATTTTTAAAAAAAGATAGCTCTTATATGGTGCTGTTTATATTTTTGCATCTACGTTGGCTAAATCCCATTTCTTATGACAAATCTTCCTAAATTTACTTGAGCAATATTCCTTATACCTCCAAATTTTGTCGTTACTCGCAGAACAGTATACTTGTATGCCCATTATTGATTTTTAGTTATTTATTTTTTAATATACACTTTATGTACACTATTTGTACTTTTTAACTGCATGTCCTCCTTTTTTTAAAAAAAAGAACACTTTATGTGTTATTATAAACATTTTTCATGATATTATTTCATAATCCCGTTTTATGAAAATTTTGATCTGATCAACAACTTTTTAAGCAGAACTGGCTAGTAGTAAGCGATAAAATCTACAGCATTCGTTTAGTTTTATTAATGACTCATCTGCTGGATATACCACTACAAGTGTCGACGTTCATTGTTGAACTCAGTCCCGATGGACTCTCTTAAAATAATAACATGTTATCCACTTAACTAATGAGATCAGTTGGCCAACGATTTGTACAACAGAGATCAATTTTATGCGTTGTTTGAATTTACCATTTTCTATGTCCTGGACTTCACTACTCATCACTATATTAACTATGTTAAAAACTACTTATAACTGATAGCATTGTCGAGGAAACTTACTCAGTATACACATATTCCAA